AACAGATCTGTAATAGAAGCACTGCACGCCCTAGAAGACACTGACAAGGAACAATATAAGGAATTTGTGAAGAATGTGCTTGTAGATCGCACTTGCTACATTGCTGACCTAATCAAAAGAAATAATCTCGCCCTCTTGAAAAAGCCACAGCCTAAAGTACCATATGCACAGTGGAATAAGATCAAAATACTTCAAAATAATGTAGAACTCTTTGGCCACTTTGTATATTTCCATGCAGAGCCAAAGCAGTGACCTGAGGGAGTTCTTCGTTCATGAGATACAGTCCTTCCCACCTTCCCTTTCAGATTTTAAGAAGCTTTATTTGCCAAGTGCAAAGTTTGAGTTACTGAAGTGTTTCGAACAGCCAGAGTTATCAGAACCACCTGAAGTATATGACTGCAAAGTCCTACATCGTGCTTTTATTGTGCACTTCCTGTCCACTAATGGAGTGATAACCTTTGATGAATATGCTGAGAGGGTTTCATTCCTCACTTACAAAAGCAACTGCAGGACACCACAAGATTAGATGTTGTGTGGGATTGCAGGAAAAAGAATGTGATGTCGAAATATGCAAATAGTTTGGCCTATAAGGGTGATCAGCGGTTCGCTCGGAAGTCATTTCGAACTTGTAGGCTGAATGATAAATACTAAGAAATATCTAACAGAGTTTCAGAGGAAAGAATGGATGTCATTTGGGGTAAATGTCTGCACGTTCTATTGTGAAACAGGTAAACATTCCCAGGTCGACAATTGGCAACGTGCTGAAGAAATGGAAGCCCACAGGTAACAATGAGCCCAAGAAAAGATACAAAGAAATGCGAGCAGACACAGGCAATCTGATAAGTGTTTCCACGACACGTCGAGAGCTGCAGCCCACAAGCCGTTGGTAACAAACAATTGCACACCGTCGATTGGCATGGGGCAAGGCACACCGAACCGTGGACCGTGGATCCATGGAAATTGGTCCTGTGGAGTGACTAGTCACGCTACACGCTCTTCCAGTCTAATGGATGTGTTTGGGTATGGAGGATGCCTGGAGAACTTATTACCTGAGTGTGTTGTCCCAACAGTGAAGTTTGGAGGTGGCAGTATCATGGTCAGAGGGTGCTTCTCGTGTATGGACTAGGCCCACTGGTTGTAGTGTATGGATCCATGAATGCTGAGTCCTACATTGATGTTCTGAACAATTCTGTGTGTCCTACATTGTTGCAATATTATGGCACCGATCCTTGCACTTTCCAACATAATAATGCTCCATGTCACAAAGCCAGGATTGTGAATGCGTAGTTTGAAGAGAATAACATCGGAGCATTGTAGTGGCCAGCACAGAACCCCGACCTCAACCCGACAAAACATCTTTGAGATGAACTGGAATGCAGAATTAGGGAAAGGCCAAGATGGCCCTCTTAAGTAATGGAGCTTACTAATACTTCAAAGGAGTGGAGCACAATACCACCAGCTTTCTACCAAAAATTAGTATACAGTTTTCCATGACACATTGAACCAGTCATTAAAGCCAAAGGCGGGCCAACACGCTAATAATTTTTTGGAATAAAGACATGTTTTATTCATAACTACCCGTTCCCATGATGTTTGGTAGGATAGTGTACATTCCTGACAGCTTGAAGTAGTCCACTCAGGAAAAGATAGGGAAAGGGGGTGCGCAGAAAAGTGAGAGGCAAGGTAAAATTGCCAGGTAACTAGATGGATTTCCTGCGTGACTCAGAAAACAAGAGCTCTTTGAATTTCTGACATCCAAGATTTCAAAAATTATGTTCACCAGGTAAAGCAGTGTATATGACTTTTGGTCCATCCGTAGTTAACATGCCAGTAGATTCCAACAACCCAATGCCTGACTGCAATCATGAAGAAGCTTACACACGAGTGGTAGTTCATGTATTGCATGCTCTGTAACAGGGTGGCAAAACTGGCCTAGTACATACTGTAAACACAGGTGTTGTAGTTATCCTTGTGGCCACATTCCACCATCTGGTAATGACTCAACCTATGGCTAACATATGGGTCGCATTCGGAATGAGCAGTAACTACAGATTCTACAATATAAATGCCCTCTATGCCAGCCTTGGAGATGGTAGGTTCCAAGCAATGCAAATTTTTCATGCAATATCTGGCTGTGACACTACATTAGCAATCAACGGCAAGGGCAAGAAATCAGAGTGGCTAGCCTGGCAGGCCTACAGTGAGGTCACAGAAACGTTCACCTATCTCGCTAGTCACCCCTTCCACGTTATCGAAGTTGGAAAGGCTGCTTGTCATACTTTATGATAAAACTAGTACTTCTAACAGTGTAAATGAAGTAAGGAACGTACCTATAGACAGACTGCCACCCACCATGAATTCTTTGTTTCAACACATAAGGCATGCCTTATATCAAGCAGGAAGCTAGGCTATCAGCTCACGTATACAGGAAGTGATTCCTTTCCCACAGAAACTTGGCTGGACTAGACTGTCAGAAACATGGGTTTATGTTTGGATCGCAATTCCTGAAGTCTCTAAAGCCTGCAGGGAATTTATCAGATGCTCATGCAAGGGAGAATACTCAAATGGCAAATGCAACAAAGCCAATCTTGACTGTTTCCCTATGTGCAATTGTAATGTGGTACATAATCAGACAGTCAGAACAGTGTGTGTAGAATGGCGAACTTGCTACTTCCATAGAAACCTACAGACAATATGCTCAGAATTCACCTACAGACAATCGGTTCCGAATTAACCAAAACCCACAGTGATTGCAACTTGTGCTGTAGGACCACACATTTTGCACTATTACCCGTGCGTGGCATGGGCTGCACCTATTCATAGTGACTAAAATAGTTGGCTATAGTGTCCTGACAGTAAAAAAAAACATTGATAGAATGTTCAGTGGTTTTAAAATTTCATAATTATGTACTATTCTGACTATTGCAACAAGTCTAAGCAGATCTAAGCATAATATAAATGGCGGACGGTGGCCATGTTGGATTTTGACGTATTATACAGTAACCCTTCACATTTCAAGAGGGTTCTTAGGCATAATTGTTACAAAAAAAACTTCATGCCAAATTTGGTGCTTGTATCCACTCAGTAACGGCAATCTCAAAATATTGTAGTAAGACACTTGACTATTAGTAAAGAGATTGTACTTTATACTTGTGTACAGAAAAGCATAAGAACTGTGATGTCCTATTGGACGCTATGACGAAACATAAAACTTGGTAGTGTTGCTATTTATTTCACTTAGATTACATTACATGAAAACATTACATATGTGAATGGATTTTCATTTACTGTAAGTCATGCGTTTAGAAAAACGTTTGACAAAATAATTTCAGTGTCACTACATATAGTTTGATAACTAGATGGGAAAATCATATGTAAGAATGAAAACAAGGCTATATAGAGTACGATAAGTCTTACTACGTATTTTTCATTTGGATACAAAAATACCTAAGACAATAATGCTTTAGGTTAACACGAAAAACAGTCCTTTTCAGGTATACATAAATTGTAAGTTAATTTAGTGTATGGATACGATGACTATTTAGAGATTGAAGACTTTAGGGTAATATGAAACACTCCTTTTAAGGAATATATTGTAAGATAAACTAATGTATGCGTAAACCACGGATTCCGGTGAGAGGTGATCAAAGATTGTTATCCAGTGGGAGTATTATTTATCCTGGGGCATCACAGTTCCTCAAAGTGGCACCAGACGGCTGATAATTCCATGATATGCACTAGAGACGGAGAGTTTCAAGTTGTGTTGCTGAAAGATCGAAAGTTTGTTGCTATGGAGTAAATAGTTCGAAATTTCACCACTAGGAGTAAGCGATGAGATCTACCCGAGAATATTCATGAATGTCAAATCGTGTCCTGTTATACAAATATACTAAATATGGTTCTTAACATGATATAAGTTTCTATACCATTGTTAGGATCAACACTAACATTTCACATCAATAACAACAATAAACACAGTCTTTGGTTACGTTATATTAATATTTCGCATATGACAGAATGACTCATTTGTACAGCATACAAAACACAAAATTAAAATGTCAAATGATGTAACTCATTTTCGGCGAATATACTTTTTAGTTGTTTTTAGCATTAATTTTAAGGTATAGCATATATACATCAGAAGTTAACCAGTCCAAAGGGAGCCGCCTCTGTGGTGGTGGGGTGGGGGGGGTGTTAATGATTCGTCTTAAAATGAATTATTTAAACAACTACATGCTTTTTTCTTTAATTAAAGGTTCACTCAATAAATTTCAGCTCGCGATTTACTATAACTTAAAGTCACACATCTCTAATTAGAAATAATTTAAGATAAATTTTGAATCGTCTATATACTCGTGACTCATTCTTAAAACAAAAATAAAATTCGCTTAAAAATTGTAGATTAAAATGTGAAAACCGGTATTCAGAAATTCTGTTATTAATGTAATATTTATTATCTATATTAAAGGAGTGAAAAACGAACATGATAATTAACTTGAACGCATTCCGACTAAATCTTGAGTTAGGATCACACACAATAAAACACGTTTAACAAGTTAATTAATCTAGTATAATTTGTTATATTAGGTATATTCTTGCACACGTTTACCCAAAATGATTAAATAAGCCTTTCAGGATATAAAGCCTGAACTTAAATTATACCCTGCTACAAATAACTACCGAATCCCACAATGACCCAGTCTGTTCTTATCAGAGCAAAAACACCTTAATTATAATTGAGCTAGTTTTATGACCTTTCCAACTTAGCTACCGTTGAAATGAATAATAAGGTTCTTCATTATAAAAGGTACAGTTGTAATGTTACCATTACTTCATGCGCAAATAGCGTAAACAACTCTTGTGTAGCTTCGGACGAATATCCAATCCAAAGCAAACGTATATTTACAATCAACCCAGTAAATAGGTTGGATAGAATGCATTAAAATGTATTGTTAGATGAAAAAAATAAGTACCTCAGTAACATAAAATCTAGCTCTTACCTGGAATGCACATTTCCCCCGTTTCGTCGGAATAACTTTTGTAGCCCTCTTCACAGCGACATTCTCCATGCGAATTACACATGGCATGGTCGTTATAGTAGGAGCAAGATTCTGTGTAATCACATTTTTCCCATAATCTAGCTCCTACCAAAGAAATGTGACAACTGTATCGCCCTCCTTTAAACAGTTACTATGCTTTTAATTAAGCAAACATCATTTATGTTTGAATTTTTCGTTAGAGTAGTAGATGAACAGTTCTGTAGCTACCACTTGACAACATTCTATTAAAAACAAACTAAATAGATCTAAAACAGATTTACACTCTTAAGCCCAATGAAGCAAATTTGAAATATCATGTAATCAAATTTTTCCAAAAATTAAAGGAATAAATCTCTTTTTTTTGTAGGGATAATAAATGTTAAGAGCTTCGGCACCTAAATGTTTCGAAAGACCATTGATAAATAATAAATATGTGTGTGCATATATGTTTCCTTATCTAAACTACGTGATGTCACTAGAAAAAAATTGAGAGGTTATTATTAGAAAACTTCAAAATGTTGTGTTACACTCTTGATACTTGCTCACAACATTAGTAAGGGTATCAAAAGCTCGTATTACAAGATGGATATCTGACATAAACGATTGTTTTAACTCTTTCACTGCCATTGACATATATGATCTTTGTATGATTGGAATTTTGTACCGCCATGAAATTCACTAGTTAAGTTTCAGATAACAAATAAAATACTGGAACACGTGTCTCTTGGTATCTAAGAATAAACCTGACACTGGGAGAATTGCTTATTTATAAACGTGGTAGTGAAAGAGTTAAGCTCAACTAAGTGTTTTTGAGTTAGTGGTACAATTCCAACTTCACAAAGGTAATTGAAAGAACCAAATCACCCCTAAAATTTCTGTGGTTCGAAAGTTATAGTGAATTGAAAATCCACTGACGACATTAATATGGAAGACAAAAGACATTTGAAATACTATACATTTAGACATTTATCCAAACAGGTACTTAGTAAAAACTGCCAACTAAATAAAATGTTAAAAAAGACAAGAGAAAGTAACTGTACTGCGATATCTTTCTATTTTGTGCGAAACTAAGTGCAAGAATAGCGTTAATGCAAAAGTATTAAATCGAAATATAATGCAATTTTTAATTCAAAATATAAACTAACAATATAAACTGTATCTATAAATTAAGTCCTAGTTATTGTTCGTAGATATCTTAATAAAATTATAGAAATAACTACAAGTATTTTTAATGTTTATTAATTACTATAAGAAATGAATTATCATGTTCCTTGTGTACTGAAAAACACCACAAAGTGTATAACCAGAAGTGTTGTGTTTTAGTCTGAAAAATTCCTATCAACCGTTTGTTAAAATTTTTAAATTTCAAATCTAATATATTGGGCAAAAAAGATATCCGTATGAACAAAACTCCTAGAAGTACGTAAAGAAAATATAACACTGATACATGTTCACAGAATGTTTCAAAGAAATTTTTAATTTTAGTGTTGAAAATTGCTGATAGATTTGATATATATATATGTGTGTGTGTATAATAAAACTTGAAATTAAAATCACACAATAGAAATGTTTTAATATTACATTACGCCGTTGAAGTCGTTGTTTAATATATATGCTAAATAATAAAACCTTTAATACATACCTTTCACACATCCTTTTCTCTTGACTCTTACAGGATATTCTTTCAGGCACTCGCATCTTTTTGTTGTTAAGTTGCAATAAATGTTGTGTAAATTATTACTACACGTGTTTTCGCAAGGTTCACCAACATAGACATCTATCCCTAGAAAGTGCAACAAGATGTTACAGTGACTACGGTATTATCATATGTTTGTTACATAAATAAAAATCTGTAATTCGTTAAATGTTCTTTAATAACATCGGAAGATATTAGCTAACGTGTAGAAAGTAAAGTGCGAAATTAGAAGTTAATGTAACAAATAAAACTTTGTGATTTTATTCAAGCATCATAATGTTATAAAATGATATGGGGTGGACAATACTTTAAAATTAACCAATTCATAATTCATTATATCATTTATATAACTCGGCGCGATGACTCGGCGATAAGTTTGAGGGCTTATTACGCTAAAAAATCGGGTTTTGATACTCACAATGGACACAGCACAGATAACTCATTGTGTAATGTTGTGCTTAATAACAAACAAGCAAACAAAACAAACTTTTACATAAAAACATAAATATATTTGATCACAATTTTTGCTTCTTAGAATATAACTGTTTATAAATTAAATCGATCTAAGTACAGAGGGTTGAGTGCATTCTATTAAAACGACTTTGCGTATGCAAATTAGCAAGTGACGTGACAACGACAGCCAATATAAAGTCGTGGTGGGGCTGAATGTATCAAAACTACATTTCGACTTTGTTTGGAGTTATGTTGGTAGTTGGATGCTGATGAAAATTTATATCTTTGGGAAGGACATGTAACAACTCTTACAGACACAAAATATGCATACAAGCATACCATAAAGACGTGTTCATGTCAGGAATTTAGAAATGCCAAAAAAGGAAATTTCCCTTATACTTAATGACATTGGTAATCAAATGAATATGAATCAACTTGGAGTACAAGGGCCATCCAGAAAGAGACTTGTAGCAAGTCGTGCCAAGTCGTAATAAGAACCTTCGAACACAAATTAGTGGCAAAATCTGTCTACGTGGCCCAGGCAGTGATAGACAATATAATCAAGAATGATCTCCGTCTGGAAAAGCGAGACAATTCATTTGTACAAATGTTGCTTGGCCTGACATGGGCTGATGGTTAGTGGGCTCGACCTGCAATTTGGAGAAAAACCCATCGTCTAACATGCTTGCCTTTTAGCTGTGGGGGAGTTTTAATGTGATGTTCCAATCCACTGTTTGTTGGTAAAGAGATGTCAACCAGTTGACGGTAGTCAATCACTCCAAAATTAGAGACGGCTAAAGTAGATTGATCTCGAGCATCTTTACATGAAATTCAATAATGAAAGAAAATAATTGCTTCAACGACATATCCGTTAAACCATCCCATACTTCAAGTAACTGTAGAATGAAATGAGTATTCATGCTACTCTATATAAAGCATGCCAATCTATTTATTTCTGTACGATTGGACTGTTGAGACGGGTGCTGGAAGACTTCCGTCTTCACATACTAAAAGGATTGTAGAAAGGTAGCTTGGAGAAAGGGTGTTCTTTGGATATAGCATTTTGAAGTGTAGACTAAATTACAAAGCTATTGGTAAAATGCACAATCGTTAATTACAGCATAACTGGGCGTGGCGACATAGACTATAACAACGTGGTGATGCTCCAAAATTCTTTTAAGTACAATGTACTCAATCTCTGTAATAGGTAATTTATCAAAAAACTCAATGTCCTCACATGATTTTGCATCAATCTATGAAAATATTTCTGTGTATACTAATATTACCACCAAATCAGACATAGTTTGTTTGTAGTTAAGTACAAAGCTACACAATGGGCTATCTGTGCTCTGCCCACCACGAGTATCGAAACTCGGTTTCTAGTGTTGTAAGTCCGCAGACATACCGCTGTGCCATTAATTAGACATAGTAAAACTATTTTCATTATATTAAAATTTTCTGTCAGCTCTAACTCTTTTACAAAAATACGACTGTATTAATTTAAATATAATATTTAAAATTCTAAATATTTCACAATGAAATTCGATTTCATTCAATAGAATATAACTATTCTTTCCTCTACCTTTTCAGCTTGAGCGACCTAAAACACTTATAATTGAAACTGAAATGAAAGGTAGAAAAAGGCTTATTTTATATTCAGTAGAATACCAGGTTCCTCCATGCAATTTTAAGTGTTCGAAGCTATAACAGTATTGTGTAAATTTGAGCTCTTATCAGTCTACAGGTTTCATAAATATATATAGCGTTGCTCCCTAACAAGCTCCCCAGAAGGTCACTTAGGTATGATGGAGCCTAAGAAAATGTTTTCAGGGCCGCTTAACCCGTATTTAGCATCGGATTTTGTGTTCTTGGTATCGCTGGGGGTCCCATGTTTGGAATTATATTCATACCCCCTCCCCCACACACACACATTCACAAACGGGACAAAACTTTGCACATGTGCTCAGGTACCACAGGCGGATGTCCTAACTAAGTTTGTTTTTTTTTGTTATTGGGTAAGAATCCCACCCCCTGCAGAAGTAACTGGAGATAATGAAGGAGCTTAGTTAAAGTTGTTGTTTAACTTTCTTTCTGTGTACTTGTAATAACAGAAAGTATTTACCTGTTTTCAATAATGTTAGCATTTAAGCCTCAATAAATATTACATGTTTGTGCCTAAATATAACTGAGCTATTTCAGAAATTAAAAACAAATCCTCAAGTAGGTATGTTTAATCCTCAAACAAGTTGACAATGTTTAAATAACAGGGATCGAACACTAAGTGTAAATAATCTGTGATTTGATAAACTGCAATTTTATACTTGTTTGAAATCTAAGTTTTCTGATAATATTTTAGATAGTAAGATTTTATAAAACGTTGGACATTTAATAATACTGGTTGTATTGTGGCTGCCATCTGGTGAAAATTGTAAGACTTATATCTTTATCTTATAGTTGCAAAGTAATAAGTAGCTGTGGTTACATTATGAAAAAACAAAGGCTGCAACATAAAATATAGAAACATTGAAGAAAAAACTTTCAGAATAAAACCAAAATGTAAGTTAAACACACGTAGGTATTTCCCAACCTTAGAAAAAATTAAAATGTATATTTATATTTACATGAATACACTTTCCTATAGCTTACAAACACCTATAATTTACGATTTCTCTGTACTTCAATGGCTTATAGGCTTATAGTAGAATAAAAAATTGAATTAAATATCAGATAAACTATTGAGATTGAAAAAAAAACAACAAAGATATCATATTAAACAAGAAAGCTAGTCCACGTCTAAAAAATAATAAAGTACTGGACAGATGTTTTGTAGCTTTGGGTAGTTTAAGTCTAGATGGTGTTATTGGTATGCAACTAATTATGTGGGTATAGAAGTCCCAACCATGCCTTTACTGTTACCTCTTAAGATGGTGTCATAGAACACCGAAACATATGTCGAGTATTTGTTAGGGTAAGTCCCTGTTTTTAATAACTATTTATTGTGTAATGATTTTTAACGTTGTATTCCTTTTAATTGTAAATAAATGTTTTACACAAGTGTCGTTTTAAATCATTTAGTTTTGAATCTTTCTTCAAACATTTTGAATAACATTACGAACGGATATTCACTTATTTAATTTTATAATTTATAAGAATTACTATGAAAAATAATATTCAACAACTAAAACATCTCAGCAGATCAATAGTTTCGTTTTGAGTTTATATTATGTTACAAGTTATAGCTTTTATAGTAAGAAATATTTGCTTTTAGAACAGGTACGACGTTTTGATCACTTGTTATACTTAAGAATGATCGTACCAGTGATCGAAACGTCGTACCTGTTCTAAAAACAAATGTTACCTACTGCAAAAGATGTAACTTGTAACATAATATCATGATAGATTGTGTAGCAGAATCATGAGTCACACCTAATAAACAAAATATTACTGCAATGTCAATGTTGTTTTGTTACGGTGAGCGCAATGACCTTTTCTATGGCTTAACACGAGGCTTATAAATTAAGCTAAGTTCAAGTGAACTATGTTTAGCGGTAAGTCTGAGCAGTTTATTGTCTATTTACTACGTGGAAGGATATATATTCAATGAAGAATGAATCAGATTAAGTTAAGATCAGCCCTTTTGATACTAGGCGGGAAGATAAAAGGTTTAATTTCTTATCTTTACTCAAAATTATTCATCATAAGAGAACCATTGGGGAAAGAAAGTAATAAACTTTATTGATTTAATTAAATGATGTATTTCATTTGTAATAATAATAATAATAAAGCTTATTTGGTATTTATAATGTCTTAAGCCTAATCGTAATTGAAATAATCTGTGTAATAGGTTCAAGGGAGATTTGAAAGGAGAAAAAGCAAAATATAATTCTATTATGTATAATTTAGTAAAACTAAAATTAAAGTATATCTTCAAAAGTTTCTTGAATATAAAAAAGCAGCAAAATATTTTATAGTATTATCTTAATAGGCAAAATTATAATGCTAACCACTTGCCAATAACTGGCCATCTATTAACAATTTAAAAAAAATACCTCTACATACTCATTCTTATTGGTCAATATGTAATTTATTTTCTTGATAGATCAAATAACGATTATTCAACAAACTCATTTGGACTTAAAGATTACCTTAAACATTTCTGAATCTAGAAACTGTTTTTTGGTGACTAAATATGTTTTTCGTGTTTATGTAAGCTATGTTTTCTTTTATGTCAGACCTTTGTGTTGTTGTTTCGCCACAGGAAGTGTAGATATCAGGTCTGTGACGTATTTCCTCCAAGACTGACTAGGCCCAAGCCTAGGGCGGCAAATTTCACGCGGCGGTAAAATTCAGTAGCATCGTGTTTTTGTTTTGTTTTTAACCCGCTGAAGTGAATAAAAATATGTAGCAAACACAACACTAATACACAGTTGTTCAAAGTAAGATTCGCGACCTAGAGTTTCCTGCTTTCCCTCACCGTTTTTGTTATCTATATACTACTAAAACTCTGAGATTGTTTGTGTGTGTGCTTGTCTGTAATTAAATACACCAAAAAACGGCGCACAATAGCGTCATATTTGTATTGAAATGAGAATAGAAACAGTATAAAACAAGTTTCGTTAAAATCGGGCCACGGG